GTTTCCACCTTCATATTCCTAGGTCTAAGCAAGTGCAAATCGCTCCATGTTTGGTCTCAACCAAATTAAAATAACGAGGTCTAATATGACCCTTAACCTCATTACCACCAACGAAGTGTCTCCTACCCCATGAGCTGTTGGGATTTCTTCCATCTCTATGAGACACTTGCCCATGCAACTCATAACAATAAGGCCGAATATGACCATACATACCACAATGATAACAAACAAAAGCAGGGTGTACAGGGTGTTTCTTCTTTTCTTTAACCTTACCAACTCTAGGAAGATTTTTCCACTCGTTGAATCTTGTGTTCTCCCTGCCCTTGAGTTCTTATATCATGAGATGTGGATGCATTCTACTTTTGCTCTTTCTTACCACCAAAGCCAATGTCACTTTTGTCAGAACAAATTTGTTGAGACCCAATGATATTGTCCAAAGTCTTTGATCCTTTGTTCCAAAGACCAATGGTTGCCATAGCACACTTGAGCTCTTCCTCTTTCTTGATAATAAGCTCTTCTAAGGCACCTTGAGACATCTCGTGATTTTCAATCTTTTCTTCATATGTTGCATAGATTTGATGTAGCTCATTTCTCTCTGTCTCACAAGTCAAGAGTTTTGAACAAACGACTTGTCGATCATTAGATATCTTGATGGCATCATTTCTAGCCTCGGAAATCTCCCCCTTTAATTTGACATTCTTAATGTCACATGCTTTGAGTTTCGGAGTGAGTTTGTCATTCAATTTGGATAAGTGAAGAGATTCCTTATACGACTTTTCACAAGATTACTGAAGCTCTTTATCATCACTCCCCGATGATTCATTATCAGTGGCATTCTCAACCGGCCTCTTCGAATATTCTATTCATCCTTTAATTTCGGAAGCTGCCATGAAAGCAAGAAATTGTTCATGTCTCTCTTCACCTTGGTCTTCGTTGTCACTTTTATCTTTATCAGTTTTTGATTCATCATCCCAAATGATAGCGAGGGCTTTCTTCTTCCTCAAACGAGCAGGGCATTCTTGAGAAAAGTAGCCAAATCCTTGGCATTCATAACATTAGACTCTTTCAAAGTTCCCTTGTATCTTTCCTTTCTTGTTCTGGGTTATAGAATTAATTTTGAATTTATCTTTGTTTTTGGATTTATGAGTTGACTCCAAAAGATTAGGATTCTTTTTTAGAAAATACTTTTTAAATTTTTTTACAAAAGCATCCGTAATTTTGGAGTCAATCTCACAATCCTCATAAGAATCCTTTCCAGCTGTATGAGCACTACTCAAAACAAATCGTCTTTTTGTTTCTTTTTGAAATTTCTATGTGCCTCATAAGTTTGGAGATTTTCAACCAAATGATCTAGCTTGAGGTTGTCAACATCTTGAGCCTCCTCAATAGCCGTAACTTTTGGTTGGATCGGGCAAGGACCTCAAAATTTTTCCTACAAGCTTGGATTCCGGTATTTTTTCACCTAAATTGAAGCTGGAATTTACAATGTCACTCAACTTCGCATAAAATTCATCAAAAATTTCACTATTTTTCATTGAAAGGTTTTCGAAACCAGAAGCGAGCCTTTGAAGTTTTGAGCGTTTAACAGAAGGAGTGTCCTCATGAATAGTTTGTAAGATATCCTAAGCCTCTTTTGTGACTTCACAAGTGCAAATTCGACTAAACTCTTCAGGTGTGACAACACAAAAGAGAGAATTGATAGCTTTACTATTCCAACTACTATTTTGGTAATCAATTGTGTCCCACTTATCAATTGGTTTGGGAAGATTACTCCATCAACGGTAATCGTTGGTTTGGTCCACCCATACATGACAGATTGCCAAACTTTTTCATCAATAGATTTTAAAAACGATCTCATCTGAGCTTTCCATAAAGAATAATTGGATCCATCAAGTAGCGATTGTCGAACCATAGAATTTTCCTCACGAATTGAATCCATTATCACAAATCAAACATAATCTCGCTCTAAAAGATTTTTTTTTTTAAATAGAGCGACTTGCTCTGATACCAATTAAAAAAATCTAGAAATCCCTAGATATTGATTTGTGATTATGTGTCAATTTTAAGCAGTAAATAACAATCTAAATCAAACAATCAAGACAAATCGACACAACGATTTTAACGTGAAAAAATCACAATTGGAGTGCATCCAATTTTGATAAAAAAAAACTATAGGCAAAAGCCACAAAACAATCTACTAAAAAGACAAAAGGAATTACACAAGTGTACTCTCAATTACCTAGCGAATCCACACCCGAATCGAACTGACCCCTATGTGCCTCTTCGAACCCCATCTTCACCTCGAAACTGTCTTGCCCAACGTTGAATCCACAACAGTGATGTTGTTGCAAACAAGTTAAACTTCTGGAACCAAACGTTCTCCACTCAAGCGCACAAATGGTCGCTCAAGCGAACAAGCAACTTCAACTGCAACTTCGATCCCCGACATAGTCACCGAAGTGGCAAACATGAAAGAATTAACATCACAAACTTCTCTGCATAGGCACAATTTAGGTTGGATTCGCATCTAAAACTCATAGCCTTACTGAAATAAAAAAGATCGAATACAATTACAATTGAAAAGAGTTTTGTCAAATGGGATTGCCAAGAATAAAAACCTAACACACGTATTTATTAATAATGCTATAATTATTATATACTTCGTATCATATTTAATTTGGATAATGACATTTATAACTTTTGTACAAAATTTACATAATCCGTTCGGGAATAGGTTACTTTTATTGCTTTTTGGCTATTTAATAAGCTACTTTAGTTTTTATTTTTGGGAAGATGGATTGACATTTTTGTTGAATTGTTGTATTGAGAAATGTGTTTGACATGATTTTAGGATGGAAAATGACTAGCTTTCCCCTAAGACAACCCCTTTTTTTTACTCTTCGGTTGGTGTGTATTCAATGCTCACAGGGGAAAAATCGACATTTCAATACCTGTGCAGGCAGTTCTGCCCATGTACGTGATTCACTTTGGTTTGTATAGGCTTTTTTGCTTTTTTTTTTTTTTTTTCTTT